GTACTCGTACTAGTACTGGTACTAGTAGTAGTACTAGTAGTAGTAGCAGAAGTAGTAGTAGTAGTAGTAGTAGTAGTGGTAGTATTAGTAGTATTAGTAGTAGTAGTAGTAGTAGTAGTAGTTATTAGTAGTAGTAATTAGTAGTAGTAGTAGTAGTAGTAGTAGTGGTGGTTGTGCAAGCTGAAGTTGAAGTTGTTGTTGTTGCTGTCGCCGGTAGAAGTAGCTGGTAGCTCTTTACAGTAACTGTGGCTTTAACATGCTTTAACTACATGTGTTGAATTGCTTGCTCTCATGACGAAGCAGCGAGTGCCGACACAGGTTTCTGCCAGCTCTCTATCAAGAGATTGGCATGGTAGTACCTGTGCATAGCATAGCCGTGCACGAACGGCACCCGAACACTAGCTGCATTCTACATCCAAGTACTGCTGACATGTATCCTCCAAGCATAGAGCAACGTGGAAACTTGCAGCCTCGACCTCGCGGCGGCAGCACGAGACTCCTTATATCGTTGCAGGGCCAAGGACCCTGGCCGCTGGCTCTGGCAGTGCTACAGGCGGCAGAGCTTCGGAATCGACGTGGGGGGTACCGTTGGGCATGTGTGAGTTCATGCTGGGTCGGTTTGAAACTAAGCCACAGCATGCAACTATAATGTATAAACACATGAAAGAGAGACATGCTTGCAGAGCAATATATCGATATCCACGATTCGAAGCGCCGAATCCAGCATGTAGGCTTGTTTGCAGGCACGCAGGCCTGTTTGACTGTTGTGTGCGTATCCGTCCTGGAAGCCCTGGCAGGCACGCAGTGACCACGGATTCCCTGTTGACCTCCCCGCTCTCGGAGTTGTGGTTGCGTGCTGTGCCTCGCCTTGCACTTTCAGAATTTCACGTCCCTTTAATTTGGTTGTCCGAGTTCGAGCGTGATCCCGCAGCAAGCCCGTGCAGCGCAGAACATACGAGGATAATTGAGCATGAACGACCATGATTCACATTGAGAAGGGGGAGGCAGACAGGCGCTTGGCTATTGCGCCAGGAACCTCCCAACTCCATGACCTTCGCAAGCAAGCAATGAGCCGGGTAAGCAGACATCACATGTTGAGCACTTAGGTTATGCACATGTTGCCACCAAACAGAGGCCCTAGCTCGGCTGTAGGTTGACAGACTGGTCTGGCGAGGGGCTACGATTGCTTTTGCAGGCCAGTAAGAAGCGGAAGAGACAGCCGGAGAGAGCCAAATGAGCGACACCAGGGACGCGATCGGAGTAACGGAAATATAGAACAGAGCCAAGTCGTAGCAACCCAAGCTGTGTTCGCAACCACAGCGAAATGAACCTTGATGACCTTGATTATTGCGGCCACCCCCCCACACAACATAAGTGGACGTGTGACAGATGTGTTTCGTCTCGAAGTGTTCCGTAAGACTCTGCAGGGCATAGTCCAAGTCAGCCGGGCTGTGAACATCTTCCAGAACCCGTCCGTAAACCAGGTGAGCGCTCGCGCAAGACATCAGCTGCTGTGCGGATCGCCCAAGCTTATGCTGGAGCTCCTGAGGATAGAGCTGTGCCGGTTGAGGTTGTATCAGGTTGTCTTTGGTGCCGCTGTTAAGACTCGTTTCTCAACCTTCACAGGAATCATATTTGGCGGCATTGGCACAACCTGTGGTCAGTGTGCTGGGGCAAGATTGAATGAATGTCACCGGAAGGGTGAGCCACTGCCTGCCCCTCCTCGATTCCCGGCGGCCACTGTTGAGGCCTCTCCCACTGCAAAGCTTGCATTGGGCTGCTGAAGGGATCTTGGGTGCTACAGCACATGATGTGCAACTGTTTGCCGGGAGTTGGTGCAGGACTTTCAACTGTTCGATTCAACTGGCCAAGCAGTGTGTGGATTCAGGGGACACAAGGTCAGCACATGATGGTGCATCGAAGTATGATCAGGGAAGCTTTGCTCATTTGTCAGGCTGATGACGACTTTGACCACACGTCGGTTCTTCTCGACGAGGTCCCATGTGTGCCCTCCTCCATGCCGGACGCATTAATGTAAGTGTTCCCTTTCGTACTAATACGGGTATTAACATGAGTATTTAAACAAGTTTCAATGTCAGTATTAGTATTGGTAATACTATGTCATTAACAGCCATGAGAGTATGCGTATTAGTAGCCGTAGGAGTGTTAATGCTTATATTAACATAAGTCTTACAGCATTATAATTAATATGAATATCAATATGATGATTCGTGATCGGAGGAACATTTGTATTAGTATTTCTCTTGAGTTTCGTATTAGAATGAGTAGTAGCATTAACATTGAAATGAACATTTGTTCTAGTATCACCTTTACTATGAGCAGTAGTGTTCGTAGGAGCATCAGTATTCAACTTAATACCAATAATAGTACCATGACTAGCACAAATTTGCAGACTTGTATTCCTATTACCGATGTCAATCGTCGTACGGATATTCATTTTAGTATTAGGGTTAGTTTTGTATTGGTATAAGTACTAATCTTAGTATGAGTACGATATTGGGATTCGTCGGGGTATTAATGTTACTATTATTATGAATACCAATCTTCATTCCCATGTTACGTCATATCAATGTATTTAGCTACTCGGATCCGCCAACCGACGCTGTCGCGCCGTAGCGGCAATCACGAACACGTTTTAATCAGCAGAGTCACTTGCCAGGAACACACTGTATGTGTACCGCGGTGAGCATGTGTATGTATGTATGTATGTATGTATGTATGTGTGTGTGTATGTATGTATGTATGTATGTATGTATGTATGTATGTGTATAAATATCTATATTGTATTTATTTATTTGCTTATATATTTATGTATAAACTACTCTGAACTTCGAACCTCGCGCAGGTAGTCGAAGCCTTCACGTCACTTCGACTGCCGAAATCACCAGTCTTGGTCGACTGCGGCTCGCCTACGGGTTCAGATCTCAAGCTATGAGATAGGGCGCGTAATGATTTAGTAATGCTATCATTTTTTGTTCATTGCTAATGGTAATAGTACTAGTAATCATAATAATAGAAATCATAATAACAAGAAGAAGAACAGGGCCTTGGGGTATATCTTTACTATACTTGTAACGGGACGATAAGGGAATATCATTATGCTTGGACGGCCTAGGTCTTGTAAATCCTGCAGGGCCCTGCTGTACTGCCTTAAGACCTGCAGTGCGGCTCAGGCAGGCCATGTAGGAGTCCAGACTATGTATGGATGGTGTTGAGACCCTGCCCCAAGTTATTTGAGGCACTTTGGGAGGGGCCGGCCATAGCCAGGCTGGGTGCATCGCTTCTGTGCGTGTGGGATGGGCTAGGCTTCTTCTTGGTGGGATATCAGCTATTTGTGGGAGCCTATTGCTGATGCAGTGTGCCGACTACTAACACGAATGTGAAGGTCAGACTGGCTCTTCGGCTGTTCGCTTCACCGTTAGCAGTTAGCGAGCTTTTCGGACTCGTTGGCTGACGGCTCAGCACGGTTTGCAGGTGACGCATAAGGTTCAGGAAACGAGCGTGAGCTTGTCACAGGAGCTGGAGGAGCGTCCATGCACTACATGCGCAGCGCTCTTGTCAGCCGGATAGTTTTCCCTGTGGGTACATCCTTTACTGCCGGGTCCCATCCGGCAGCCGGGATTGTGCCTTCCAGTCCTCTCACGAAAATGCACACATCCGCTTGCGAACCAAGCGACCTCATACTGCAGGGCTTGTGCGAGTTGCGATGGCGCACGTGACGTGAACCATATTACTATTTCTACGATTCTACTGCATGTTTTACTCTCATACTACTAGAACTTACCTGAATGCTGAATGCTCCCGCATGTCAGGCCCTGCTCGACGCCATACCACAGGCACGCTGGAGCTTGAGAGCTGCTGATGGGCTCACATGTACTCGCAGGTAACTGGGGAAACAAAAGTAGCAGGGACGAGAGCGGGGCGGATGGATTTCTATACCGCAGGAAGAGAGAGCTCTGCACCTGTATGCGCGAAAACATCAATGCAGAGATGCAGCGTTACATCCATACCCACTCGCATGCCTATATAGATCACCGTTCGCACACGTTGCCACAAGCAAGGCCAAGAGGCAGAGACACGGAACGGGAACATGCAGACGAACACACGCCTCGAGAATTGTGGTTTTTGTAGTTGCATGTGCAGCACAGTGACAATTCCCAGAAGAACATCATTCTCTGTCAAGGTCGGCGTAGAAGGATTCGTGTCGGGTTTAGGGTGTATAGGGAACCCTATAATACCCTATAAACCCTACACTGCCCCACACCTGTAACGACGAGGCACAGCTTCTGGGCATCGACCGCGACCCCTTAGCTCTGGAGGCCGCTTCAGGGCGGCTGCGGCGCTTCGGAGGGCGTGCCGAGCTCGGATCTAAAACCGCAAGGATAGCAACGAAGCTACTGACTGGAATTGCAATTACGTGAATCACCGTCGCCATCAGTCACAAACATGAGCGTCGATTTTTGACACAGGTTGATAGCCGAAAAGGGGCTCAGGACATGTTGTTTATGTCGACCCCGGCAGCCAACCTAAGCCTACAGCAGCTAGCAATTGACGACGGGAATTCTGCAAATCATCTTGGTTATCAGGTGTGCGGGAATTTTGGTATTGTCTCGCCGCTTCGCAGCTGATCCAGCTCCTTTCAATCTAGGACTGCCTAGGCTTGAACACTCTGGCCTGCACAGAACAAGTGAGAGAGGGAGTGAGTGAGTGAGTGTGACTGTGTGTGTGTGTGTGGGTGCACGTGCGTGCGTGTATCTGTTTGTATAATCACTATAGTATATACATAATAAGGCACTGTATGTATATATATATATGTATAACCCATATATGTATATGTAAATGCTGCGTGGCGATGGTAGAGTCAGGTCGCTTGGGCGTTTGTAATTGGGTGCCTGACGTGTACACACTTCACTAAAGCCGTTTTCTGGAGGAGAGTTGGCTAGTCAGCAGGGCGAGAGAGAAAAGCAACACAGGTGTACATATGTATGTATGTATGTATGTATGTATGCTTGTATCTATGTATGTATGTATGTCTACATGTATGTATGTATGTACGTACGTATGTATGTATGTATGTATGTATGTATGTATGTATGTGTGTGAGTGTGTGTTTGCGTGCTTATGCATTCATGTATGTATGCATGTATGTCTGTCTGTCTGTCTGTTTGTCTGTATGAATGTATGTACGTATGCATGTATGGAAGATGTGCGCGGGCATGTAAGATGTATGAGCCCAGGTATGTATGTCTTTGTGTGTCCGTGTATTCTGTGTTTTTGTTTTCGCATACACACGTAGTTGCATACACATCGGTGCATATGTGTATATATATATATATATGAATGAATATATATATATATATGCGTGTGTTTGTGTGAGAGAATGTGTGTGCATGTATGCATGCATGAAGGCATGTAGGTATGCTGACGCACACATGTATATATGCATAAATGTACAGATACATCATACATATGTATATGTTGTATCTCTACATATATATTTATATACACATGCAGATATATATATATATATATGTGCATACGTACACACAAGAGACAAGCACATGGGCAGAACAGGAAGCATGTAAATACTAATTACTAATCGGGACTGATGACCGTCATCGCTGAGGTTTCGGCATCCTGAGACTCTACGACTATCTGAGCTTACGTAGTACTTGGGGATCTCAACTTGCGCGGCCTTCGAGTCGGGAGATTCTGAGAGAGCTCCCGCAGACCTGCCATGGCCACAACGATGAGAGCTGCGGTCTACGGCGCATTCTCTGGGCCGATCAACATCCAGGAGGCCATGTTCCGTGGCGAAGGAACTCAAACCCAAAGTCTAAAGCCAAGAATCCGAAAGCCGGTGTAAGATTTTTGCTTACATCGATGCTAAAAACCATCAAGGCTGCCTGCATGTGTCGGAAGTTCTGAGGGGTCTAAGTCAGGTAGGTCCACCATGAGTTTTGTCCGACAAGGTGCCAAAGCCTTATGCACCAGCGGAAGGACTCCTTCTCAGAGTCAAGGCTCACCGGATCCGCTTACATGTCTCCAAACTGAGCAAAGAAGAGCCTGAGCAACTCACTATGGTGGCCTTGTGGCCACACGATCGCAACCCCCCCGACAAAATCTCCAGGCCTGTGGCGTTTGTCGCTCCGACTACCACGGCTGGAAGGGTTTGGACAGCGACATCGTCCAGTCGCGCAGCCTGTGTCAGCACGTTTTAGTTGGACACTGAATTCGAGTTCCCGACATCTCAGCTTCACGTGTGAGCTGATGCTTTGGGCTTGAAGGTCAGGACCGGGAGGGTCATATATAATTCTCGGGATTGCTTGTCCAGGTGTTTGGGGCGGATTCCCGAAAGTTTTGATGTTAATGATTTCCTCTGCGCGGACATGAGGTTAATGATTTCCTCTGCGCGGACATGAGTACTGGAATAACGTCGATCCGAGCTCATAATGTGTTCTAATCTTGCATTGTTGAGGCTTGGTTCAGAGCTCGCATCATCAACACCAAGGCGGCTGTCAAAATGCCTCGCCGAAAATCCCCATACTCTATTTAACCCTAAACCGTCCTTGCCGGCGGGAGGCAAAAGGCCCAAACCCCTGAATCCTACTAAACTGCATTATATACTGTGTTCTGTTATACATTACATAACTTGTTTTGTGTTTTGTAAATTAGTATTATACTGTTTTGAATAGCCTAATCTGCCTCCGTGTTTGGTGCGACCCAGGCATGGCCTGCCCTTCACGCCGGGTCATGAGCTGCCTTCTGTCTGAGCGGACATAAGGCTTATCGGGTTTAGGGCCTGTGCTGTAGGTTTTAACGGGTTTTAAAGACAACAACAAGTGTTCAAAGCTTGCGGTGGAAGTCCATAGGCCATGCAGTTTTTTGCGAGTCGCGGACCGAAAGCGATCGTATACTGGTGCGTGGTTTGCATGGGGGAAGGAATTGTATACTCTGCTACTACTACGACGACGACGACGGCTACCACTACTACCACTGCCACAATTACTACTACAACTACTGCTACACTACTACTAACCCTACTACTACCACTAATACTACTACTACTGCTACTACTACTACTACTACTACTGCTGCTACTACTACTACTACTACTACTACTAGTACTACCACTACTGCTACCACTACTACTACTACTACTACTACTACTACGACGGTTGATGATATAAATCCTGCACTGCCCATAATCAGGAATGTGACACGATTCCCGTAGCTTAGGATCCTTAAGGTAATGCAGGATTTATATCACTACTACTTCTACTACTACTACTACTACTACTATTGCTACTACTACTGCCATACATACATACATACATACATACATGCATACTTGCATAGATGCATACATACACATACATACGTATATATATATATACGTTTTTGTTTATCTATTTATTTATAATTAACATGTTGTGTGAGTGTCTGCGTGTGCGGGTGACGCATATAGTGTGTAGAAAAAGTGACCACGTTGATGGGTGACAATCACATGGATGCATACGACGTTGTACAGATGTAGATCGTGAGCAATTCATCAGGTGATATGCGTATGCATACATACAGACATACATATACCGTACAGCTGTTGTGTGTAATGTCATGTCATGTAAGGTAGCGCAGCGTAGCATTGTAAGCGAAATCTAGTGCAACGTGATGGCATGCCATGAAAAGTAATTTAATGTAATGTGTGTCACGTGTCGCGAATTTGAGCGCAACGTAATGCGATGAAAAAGTATTATGTATAATGCAAGATAATGTAATGTGAGCATGCATGCATGGGTGGAAGGACGGATGGATCGATGGATACATGGATGCAAGTATGTATGTATATGCATGAGCTCATGCATGCATGTATATGTGTACATATTGTATGCATGTGCGTAATGTTATGTAGAACTGCAATGTACTGTAGTGTGATGTGGTGTAATGTCATGTGATGTAATGTCATGTGATGTAATGTCATGTGATGTAATGTATTGTAATGTAATGTGGTGTAATGTCATGTGATGTAATGTCATGTGATATAATGTCATGTGATGTAATGTAATGTCATGTCATGTAATGTAATGTAATGTCATGTAGTAAAGTGTTGTGTAATGTAATGTAATGTAATACTGTAATGTATTGCATTGTATCGTAATGTAATGTAAGGTAAGGCAAGGCAAGGTAAGGTATGCGTGCATGTATGTTGCTAGGTCTGCATATACCTGCACATACACCGACGCAAGTAAGTACGGGAAGACCCCGGCAAGAGATTGTTTTTGCCGGGGGCAACCAGCACAAACAGTAAGCTTGACTCGACAAGGAGTGGTGTCGTCGTCAAATTGGGCGAGGGCACAACCAAGTTCCAGGCCAGCTGTATGTAAAATTTGATTTGGGATTGTGCGCATGGACCGAATGGGCAGCAAGCCAACGTGCTGTTGTAAGACAGCTTGAAGAACTCTTCAGATACTCCAGGATCATTCACCCTTCTTGGGATCCTCTGTCCCAGCACCACACCCCCCAGACACCTCCTGCTTCGAATTGTAAAGAGTACGTAGCCATAGCTCTACTGCGGCAGGTAGGTGACCGCGTGGCCGTCCCTTTCATCCTCAGCTGCGGCGCATGCCGGCAGTGTGCAAGGAGCCGACCTACCATTTGCGAGGCCATGTGGCGCAATGGGTTTTGGGGTCTGGGATTTTAGAGATTTGGAGATTGGTGCTGGAACTGCCGATGGTTCGCGATGGTGTTTTCTGTCTTATGCAGTGTAGAGCGGGTGGTCTTGAGACACCATCACGCCAAACATATGAACGAGCGATAAACCAGGGGCCTTACATAGGACATGTGGCCGAGTGACAGCAGTGGCTTTGGCCGTCAACTGCTGTGTCTCGATCTCTGTCTACGCAAAACAGATGCTCTTTCCATCTTGTTAGGTTCTCTTGTTCCTATTTTCCGTTTGAAGATATGTAGAAAACCATGTGTCTGCACATGTATGACTGTATGTATACAGTTTTGTATGCATGTACGCATGTATGCATGTAGGTCCAGGTACGCGTCTATGTGTATGCATATGATTACGTGTATATATATATATGTATATATATATACACCTACACGATGACACCGGTACTGTATCAGGTCTGCATACATACATATATACATACATACATACATACATAAGTACATATTATACATACATACATACATACATACATACATACATACATACATACATATACGCATAGAGAGAGGGAGGCATACAGATTGGGTGGCGAGAATGAGGGTTGAGTGAAAGCTGTTGTTCTCTCCGTGTTCTCTGCGCGTTCGTGGTTTCTCCATGCGAGGCACAAGCTCAG